CTTATTATATGGAATGTTAAAGGGACTTACCTAAGAAAAAGAAGATTAAAAAGATGAACAGTGAAAGGACAGAAAACTCAGTTATCAACAACCACACCTAAAACAAAAGCAAATTAAGAGGACAGCTAGATCAGGAGTGAACCACAGAAATGAAGATCACATGGAGGGTAGCAACAGGGGAGTGGGAGGAGGAGAAGGGGGGAGAAGGTACAGAAAATAGTAGCATAGACAGTAGATAGAAAATAGATAGGGGGGAGGGTAAGAATAGTAGGGAAATATAGAATCTAAAGAACTTGAGACACATGTTCATGAACTAAAGGGGGGAATGGTGGGGGAGGGGTGTGCAGGGTGGAGGGGAACGGGGGGGGGATAGAAAAAATGTAATGGCATAATCAATTTAAAAAATGTTTAAAAAAAGACACTAAAATAGTAGCCATTGAAGGAAGCACAGGGCGGGGTGGGCTGGGATGGGAGAAATAGACAGAAAACTGTACTTGAAAAATAACTAAATAAAAAAATTTTATATGGAAAAAAAAGAAAAAAAATAGGTAAATCTACATAGACAGAGTAAATCAGTGATTGCCTAGGACCAGGAGACTAAGGGACAGGTGGAAAGTGACTGCTAAAAGGATACAAAGTTTCTGGTATCCACAGGGTAATAAAAATGGTTCAAGATTAATTTTGGTGATGATGGTTGCACAATTCGTTGATACCTCAAAGTCACTGAACTGTATGTTTTAAGTGGGTAAAATCTATAATATATAAATTATACCTCAAGAAACCTGTTTTTAACAAAATAATAAACATCCATAATCTCACAGTTTCTTCGAGTTAAGAATTTGGAGCTGGGTAACCCTGGCTCAGGATCTCTCATGAAGCTGTGGTCACACTGTGGATTAGTGTGGATGCATCTTAAGGCTTGAATGGAGCTAGAAGATCCAGTTCCAAGCTAGTTCACTTACACGGTTGGTAGTGTGGTGCTCTCTACCGGTGAGAGGCCTCAGTTCTTCTCCACACAGGCTCTCCAGAGGGCTGGCTTGAGTGTCCTAAAGGCAAATGCTTCAACGTCTTTTATGACCTAGTCTCAGAAGTCATATATTTCTCATACATCCTATCAGTTACACACCCCTATAGTGGAAGGGAACTACAGAGGGCTTGAATACCAGGAGTCATAAGTCATTGGGGGCCACCTTGGAAGCCAGCTATGGACACTTGAAAAGGAAGACATGATAATAACCACTAACAATTCTGTGACACATACTATGTGCCAGCCACTATTTTTAAGCTCACAATAGACTTATGAGGTAAGTACTATTATCTCCATTTCACAGATGAAGAAACTAGGGCACAAAGAAATTAAGTGGCTCATCATGGTCATGCACTTAGAAACAGCATAGCTGAGATTCAAGCTCAGGCAGTATAGTGCCAAAGCACCCTCTTAAAAACTATGCAATATGGCATCATAAACATTACTTATTTCAACTAAGTGTTGCCCATTTGTTCTCCAGAATGGACGAACCAGTTGAAACTCCCATGAGTTTTCATTCCCTGTGACAGTTCAGTCTCATTTATCTTTGCCAAACAAGTAAAATATAAACTCATTAATGTTTTCATTGCAGTTCTCTACTTATTGAATGGCTAATATTTATTAGCCATTCTGTTTATCCCTTTAAATTTTACTTATCATATTCTTTTTTAAAATAATTTTATTTATTTATTTTTTAGATTTTATTTATCTTTAGAAGGGAAGGGAAAGAGAGAGGGAGAGAAATATCAATGTGTGGTTGCTCCTCATGTTTCCCCTGCTGGGAACTGGCCCCTGCTGAGAACCAGCTTGCAACCCAGGCATGTGCCCTGACTGGGAATCGAACCACGATCCTTTGGTTTGCAGGCCTGTGCTCAATCCACTGAGCTACACCAGCCAGGGCTACTTATTCATATTCTTTATGCATTTTTTTTATTTTTTATTTTTTTATTTTTATTTTTTTATTGATTATGCTGTTACAGTTGTTCTATTCCCCCTTTATTCCCCTCCACCCTACCCCCCATCCCCACCATCACCCCCCCTTTAGTTTATGACCATGTGTCTCAAGTCCTTTAGATTCTATATTTCCCATGCTATTCTTGCCCCCCCCATCTATTTTCTATCTACTGTCTATGCTACTTATTTTCTGTACCTTCTCCCCCCTTCTCCTCCTCCCACTCCCCTGTTGCTAACCCTCCTTGAGATCTTCATTTCTATGTTTCCACTCCTGCTCTAGCTGTCCTTTTAGTTTGCTTTCCTTTTAGGTGTGGTTGTTAATAACTGTGAGTTTGTTGTCCTTTCACTGTTCACGTTTCTTTAACTTCTTTTTCTTAGATAAGTCCCTTTAACATTTCATATAATAAGGGCTTGGTGATGATGAACTCCTTGAATTTGATCTTATCTGAGAAGCACCTTATCTGTCCTTCCATTCTAAATGAAAGTTTTGCTGGATAGAGCAATCTTGGTTGTAGGTCTTTAGATTTCATGACTTGGAATACCTCTTTCCAGCCCCTTCTTGCCTGTAAGGTCTCTTTTGAGAAATCCGCTGACAGTCTGATGGGGACTCCCTTGTAGGTGACTGTCCCCTTAGCTCTTGCTGCTTCTAGGATTCTCTCCTTCATTTTAATCTTGGCTAATGTAATTACGATGTGCCTTGGTGTGTTCCTTCTTGGGTCCAACTTCTTTGGTACTCTCTGAGCTTCCTGGATTTCCTGGAAGTCTATTTCCCTTTGCCAGATTGGGGAAATTCTCCTTTATTATTTGTTCAAATAAGTTTTCCACTGGTGGCTGTGCCTTTCCCCCTTCTGGTACCCCTATAATTCGGATGTTGGAGCGTTTAAAGATGTCCTGGAGGTTCCTAAGACTCTCCTCATTTCTTTGAATTCTTGCTTCTTGACTCTTTTCTGTTTGGCCATTATTTGCTTTCTTCTGGTCCACTCCATTGATTTGAGTCCCAGTTTCCTTTTCATTGCTATTGGTTTCCTGTGCAATTCCATTCATTTCAATGAGTTTCGCCTTCATATATTTGTCTAATTTGTCCGTATAATCAACCAGTTCTGTGAGGATCCTGATCACCAATGTTTTAAACTGTGCGTCTGTGAGTTTTGCTATTTCTTCATTGCTTAGATCTATGGGCTCTGGGGCTCTGAGATCCTCCTGCGCCATTCTTGGTCTGTTCGGGCCCTTTAAGTGTGAGAAGCCAGCGCCTTGGATTCCCAGGTCGCTGGGTTGTGACGCTGTACGTGGGGGCGTGGCCAGAGCGGGGAAATGGCGAGCCCCTCTGCTGCTTCTCACAGCTGGGTGCGGAGGAGCAGTGCCTTCGGTGGTTCACCTGGGCCAGGCAGCTCAGAGTGGCTGGGTTATGACGCTGTATGTGGAGGTGGGGTCAGAGCAGGGAAATGGCGGCGCCCTCCACTGCGGCTTGCCGTGGGGACCTGCCGGCCCGGTCCAACCGCCCACTCCCTGGCCTGTCCACCCTCGCACAAATGCGCGACCTCAGTCAACACGCAGCCTCGGGCCCTGCTGTTTCCCCCGCGGTCGCTCGCCTGGTTGCTCGCTGGGTCGCTCACTAGGTCCGACCCTGCGCCTGGATTCCGCCGGCCTAAGTGTGTCTGGCCGAGTCCTCCTGTGCAACCCTGCTCCTCCAGCCGCTGGTTTCGCCCCTTACCGGTCAGGCTGAAGAATTTGTTGTTAACGGACTTCCGAAAAGTTCAATTTTCTGTGTTCTGGCTGTGTTTTCTGTTGCTAATATTTAATTTTCTCTACTCTTGGTTGTGTGAGAAGGCACGGCACATCCACCTATGCCTCCATCTTGGCGGAAGTCCTCTCTTTATGCATTTTTATTGTTTTTTCTTCCCCATTGCAGTAGTTATTTCTATCTTCAATCCCTATATAATGCAATCTCCTGTCAGTTTTAGACACCACAAGTATTTTCTTCTAAATTACACCCATCTGTAGCCTTAACTACAGGAAGCTTTGCTGACCAGAAATCTTTCATTATGAAATAATCAAAGCTATCAAATCTTATGGACTGTGCTTTGAGAAATCTTCACAAATCTATCCTTAACACAAGGTCACAAAGACATTCTCTTTTTTCTCATTGGCTTAAGCATTTTACCTTTTATTTAGGTCTTTCATCACTGTAGAATCTGTCTTTGTTTTATATGGTTTGAGGTAGAGATTCGACTTTATCCATACAATAAGCCAATTTTCTGAGCACCATTACCCATCACTTCCCCACTAATTTGTGATACTACTTTTATCAGATCTCCAAATAGCCAGGTCCATTCCTAAGCCCAGTTCAGCACTAACTCTCATTTTCTAAGTGAAAAGTTCTACCACTGTGAACATTCATACTGACACAGTGCCCCCCCCCAACTGCAGAGAATGCATTCGAGCATCCCCAGTGGACACCTGATATCAGAGATAGTACTAATTCTATACCTATCATGTTTTTTCCTATACATACACACCTTTCACTTAAAAAAAGCACTTTACAACTTCTCTTTAGCATGACCAAACTGCCAGCATCACTACTCCTGTGCTTTGGGGCCGTTAGTAATGGCTGAACATAATCACTGCAATACCACAACAGTTGAACTGATAACCAAGATGATACGAGGTGACACGGGAGGGTAACATATACAGCACAGACAGGCTGGACAAAGGGATGATTCACATCATGGGAAAGAGCAAGATGTAGTGGGAAAGAGCAAGATTTTATTATGTTACTCAAACTGATGGACAATTTAGAAGTTATTATTTCTGGAATTTTCCATTTAGTATTTTCAAACATGTTGACTACATGTAACTAAAACCACAAAAAATTAAACCCCAGATATGAGGGGAGGCTACTATACTGCTTTCTACATTAATGAAAAATCCAAATCCAACCATTATCCTTTATAATCCCTGGGGGTTCCACATTATTAGCTTATATTCTTCCCCAAAACAGAAAACCCAGTTAAGAAAGTGATTTTAAAAAAATAAATATATGTTTATTAAAAAACCTAACCAAGAACAAATCCTGAGACACTCAGAAATCAATGTTTCTTCTGAAAGCCAGCAATAACGACCAGTGTCAGCACAACTTGAGAAATTACAGGTGCCTCAGTTCAAACATGAGTTCTCAAATATTCTTTCTCTCAAATGCTAGTGGTAAAAACTAGCATTCAAAGAGTTGCTGGTCTGTGTGGGCCTGATTATTAACATAGACAACTGTTACAGCTGGATATCTGGCTGCCCTGTGTCTACTACCACAACCCAACCACCCCCACAGCCCCAGAAAAGTTACATGTCCTCAACACTCCACTTGTAGGCAAGTTCCTCCACCGCCTTCTTGCTGGCAAGCCTGGCAAAGCGCTTCTGTTCAAATCCATTGGATCTGCAATCAAAAGACACTAATCAGCCAGAGTCCTGAATTGGACATTTTTTTTTTTTAAGAAAAGGGTTCACAATCTAATGAATTAGAAAATAAGGCATGTGAAAATATTTAAGGTATATGCAATAGAATCAGAAGGGCAAAATATATAATTCATCCTTTTATTAGTAATTGTTTAGATCATTTTCTCTTATTTGACAACTGTTTCAAACATTTACCACTTTCTAAAGGCCCAACTCACTCTCAGCCGATGTCTACATCTTATACCTTATCCATTTATTATCTAAACATTTAGTGAATTCTTTACCTACTAGGTAGGCACTGTATCATGAAAATGAGTATGGCCCTGGCTGGTGTAGCTCAGTGGATTGAGCGCGGGCCTGCAAACCAAAGGATCACAGTTCGATTCCCAGTCAGGGCACATGCCTGGGTTGCAGGCTAGTTCCCATCAGGTGACAGATGAGAGGCAACCATACATTGATATTTCCCTCCCTCTCTCCTTCCCTTCCCCTCTAAAGATAAATAAATAAAATCTTTTTAAAAAAAGCATAAACTATAGTAGTTTAAAAAGCATAAACTGTATATATTGTGTATCACAGAAACAGAATGGAGACCTTACCCCGCTTGGGGGAGAAATGGACAAGTATAGTCAAGGAAAGGCTTCTTGGAGGTAGACCCTAAGCTAAGTCTACAGGAATTAACAGGATTGGAGGTGGGGAGGAACAGAAGTATCGGAAGGGCATTTCCAGAGAGAGTAAAGCATGAGCAACAAGAGCAAAGGCACAAAAATATGAAATAGCTTACCATATGCAGAGATTCAAAAGCAAGCTGGTATGGCTAAAGTCTAAAGTATGACGAAGGGAGTAGCACAAGGCAAAGTCAGAAAGGTAGGCAGAGGCAGAATCATAATGAGCTTTGTAGACCATAGTAAAAAGCTTAGATTTCATTCAGTAGGGAGAAATTTAAAGCAGGGGTATACACTGCACTTCAAAGAGAAAACTCTGGAAGAGACCAGACAGAAAAGTGACTGCCATGGTACAGATGATGGCAATGATACAGATGCCATGGTACAGATGATTTGTCAGTGCTTTCATCAACAGATGATGAAAGCACTGACAAAGAAGAGGGAGAGAAAGAGAGAAGACATAATAGGACTTAGTGACTAACCAGGTATATAAAAACAAAGGAGAAAGAGTGAAGTATAGCTCCCAGGTTAGTAATTCTACTGACTAGGTGAATGAGGCTACTACTTACCAGAATAGAATACAAAAGTAGGAGAAGTTTTAGAGTACAGGAAGCCGATGGGTTATTTTGAATACTTTGTATTTAATGTGCCTTAAGTACATATCAATGGAGAAATATAATATGTAGCTAGATATACCAGAATGAGCTGCAAATACAGATTTGGAAATCACGTACATAATGAAGGTGAAGGAAATCGTGTACATAATGAAGATGAGATTCGGCCAGAGACGGCACATAAAGTGAGGACAGCTAAGGGTTATGGATGGAGCCCTGAGAAACATTTAAGGGATGTACAGAGGAAAGAAGATTTTAAAGGTGGCCAAGAAAAAATAATAAGAGAAAAGAATGAGGAGTAAGGTGTCATAAAAGCCAATTCCGAAGTTTCGAGGAGTGGATGTCAACTCCCTTCTAATATTATGCATCTTTCTGTTGTATATAAACTTCTTAAAAAGGCCTATATTCACTGTCTATACTTCTCATTTTTCATTCACTCCTTAACACATTAGAACTTACCATTGGTTTCACTATGTCACAGAGCTCTCTCACTTTAAGGTCATTAGTGACTTTTCTTATTACCAAATCCAGTGATTTCTCCCTCTCCACAAATTAGTCACAAAGTCCTGCCACCTTATTCCCTAAATACTTCTCCACATCTTCCTCTTCTCCATTCTTAGTATCACTACCACAGTACAGAGCTTCATCCCTGTAGCTTGATCTACTGCAACAACCTTGTATCTTGTCTTTCTACTTCCAAACTGTGCCTTTCAAATGTTTCAAATTACCGCCATAATGACTAATTCATTTAAAATAGAGAAATGGCCCTGGCTGGCGTGGCTCAGTGGACTGAATGCCAGCCTTCAAACCAAAGGGTTGCCGGTTCGATTCCATGTCAGGGCACATGACTGGGTTGCGGGCCAGGTCCCCAGCTGGGGACGTGCAAGAGACAACAGATTAATAGATCTCTTGCACATCAATGTTTCTCTCCTTCTTTCTCCCTCACTTCCCTTCTCTAAAAATAAATAAATAAAATTTGTAAAAAATTAAATAAAGTAAAATAGTGAAATGCTATTTTAGTTTAAGGAAGTTTAATTTAGTTTAAGGAATAGTTAATCCTTCAATGGCTCCCCTTTGTCTCTAATGTGATGACCAAGCTCCTCAGAAATGTCTCCAAGGCCTTCTATGACCAGGTCCTGCTTACCCTTCCAGTCCATCTCATAAAACTCCATTTCACATTTAATGCTATAACACTATGACACTATATCATTATGACATTCCATATGCTTAAACATGATCCTCTTCCTAAACATCCTTCCTTTCCTTATCTTGACTGGTAACTGACATCACTAAAGACTAAGCCATATTCTCCCAAAGCTGAATTTAATTACTCTTCCTCTATGCTCCCAAAGCACCTTGAAAATTCTGTTTTGATACTTAGCAAGTAGCACTGAATTTATTTACTCTTTGTCTTCTCCTCTAGACAGAAACTGAATTCCTGGGCCCAGGGACTGTCTCTCACTAATTGTGAGACCCTGGCACCTAGTATGTTAGCTACTTAAAGTTGTAACATGTATGCTAAGTGTCAGTGAACTAATCAGGATAAGAGGCCTCCCTATTTCCTAAGGCCTTCCCTAAGGGATGAGTAGGATAAGCAATAGGATTTAGGAAAAGAGAAGCTTATTATGAACAGCACAAAATCCATCCTTAGAAGTATGCATGGTATTCTGGAGCACCAAGGAAACTACTGCTTCTTGCCTTGGGTGGTAAGTATTTATAGAGCATCAACACTAATATGATCATATACACAAAGGACATATGAATCATAAACAAAACCCTAAATAAAAATTTAAAAAACAAATTGCAAGAAAACTCACAATAGAAAGAGCTTTGGACTAGAGAACATGGAACCCAGGGTTCTAGTTCCAGCTTTATCAGGTGAGCTGAATGATTCTAGGTCCGTTGTTAAATCATCTGGGCATCAGTTTCTCTTTTAAAGAATGGAAGTTAAGACTAATTAACTTTATGGGTTTTTCAAACTGTAACATACTACAGATCTGTTCTAGAAATATTCATTTTTAGTGGGCCAAAAATAAAAAACTGGAAATGATGATGAAAGAATAAATAATCAGAAAGAAAGTTTGAGAAAGAAAACTAAAAAAAAAAAATCTAAGAGTAAACAAGAATGAGGAGTGGAGAAAAATTTCTGGGAGAGATGTAGACAAATTAGACAGCATTAAAAAACTAAGTGAGGAAGAGTTCAAATTTTTGGGTCCACAAATTTAGAAAAGAGAAAAAACAATAAACTCAGTATAGCAGCAAACATCTTTAGGATTGTGGCTACAAAAATTCTATTTCTGGCTATATGGCAAATTAGCATCTGGGAAAATCCTCCTGCTATCAAACAAAGGGCCAGTATGCAGTGAGCTTCAAACCAAAGTAGTAATCTAGCCTGAAACCACAGCCACCCTAAGGATACCTATGAATATGAGGAACTCAAGTGTCGAACTTTGATGGCAACTTCAGGGACAGAAGACAATGACTTAGGCCCATATAAGGTAGAATGTGCTACTTTCCAGTTATAGCAGAGGAACTTGGGCAGACTAACCTTCTCTGAGAAGTAATTATTAAATATAGGCAAAATATAAAAATACATTTGAACATATTTAAAAGCATGAGAGTGACCAAAAGCAGGCAGAATCAGGATGGGAGTCTAAGTGTGAAAAGAGATTTGTGAGGCTTTTTCCAGATGGTACTACCCAATCTGCACAGCTCATGGAGGCAGAAAAAACTACAAGCTTACTGGCTTGAGGTGTCAGTACAAAGTGTGAAGAGCAGCTGAAAAATCCTGAAAGAGGGGAGCTGTAAAAGAGATAAAACCCAAAATCTACATATAAGCTGTCCCCAAATCCTTGGCTAACAGCTAAACTGTTCTTGTGCAGGGGAAACCCCATTAGACCCAATGAAAAAGCAGCAACTAGAAATTAAAAGAACTGAGCAGAAATTTTAGCTGCTGCCCAGTGCAAAGAAGACAGAGTTTGTAGTTCAAAAACAGTCAAGTTAACTGTTAAAATAAAAATCAACACACATCAGGGGAATAAAACAGAACTGAAAGTCTCTACAATGTATCATTCATAAATATCCAGAATACATTAAAGAAAAAAGACTTTGGAACAAGATGGCAGAATAGGTTAATGTGATACTTGAATCCTCCCACAACCACATCCAAATTACAGCTAAACAAACTATAGAACAACCATCATTTAGAACCACCTTAAATCTGGCTAAATGGAAGTCCTATAACTGGAGAATTAAAGAAGCAGCCACATTCAGACTGGTAGGAGGGGTAAAGACATGGAATAGACTGGTCTCACATCCATGCGTGGTGGATAAAAATTGGGAAGGGCCGTGGCTGGTATGGCTCAGTTGGTTGGAATGTCATCCTACAAACCAGAAGGTCACACGTTCAATTCCAAGTCAGAGTACATACCTAGGTCACATTTCCATCTTCAGTTGGGGTGCATATGAAAGGCAACCAATCAATGTCTCTCCCTCACATCAATGTTTCTCTCCTTTCTCTCTCCTTCCCTTCCCCTCTCTTTAAATCAGTAAGTATGTCCTTGGGTAAAAATAAGAAAAATCAGAAGGAATATCTTAACTTTGGAGGTCTTCCCTGAGGAGTGAGGGTTCCCAGCTCTATACCATGCCCCTAAGCCCAAGGCTGCAACATCAGGATTAGAAGTCCCCACAACTTCTGGCTATAA